TCCCCTCTTAGGTCATTGGCTTCACTGTTGAGCTGCTCCCCAAGCAGTTTCTCCTAGTATTCAGTCAAAAATCTACCCTCCTGTAACTTACGCCTCTGAGAGTGAATTATGCCCTCTGGGGCAGCAAACAACAAGGTTTTGCCTGCTTCTGCATGACATCCTTTCCTGGGCTATCAAACCCCTTCCCAGGGTAACTATACCAAGGTTCCTTCCATCTTTCCTTACAGGACTTGTTTTCAATATGCCTGACCACCTTTGTTGGCCTTCCAGCTTGTCTACGTTCTTCTTACAGTCGAGTGTCCGGAACAGTGTGCGGAATAAAGTGGAACTATTACTTCTTCCTATTATTATGTTGCAATGTTGTGGTCATGTTGATACAGCTGAGTCACGTCATACGTGGAAGATTCTGTTTTGAAGGTCATGCATATAGGGGGCAATCATGTCTAGCCCATTTACCTTTTCCTTCGGTGGCCAGAGAGGGAAGCCTCCCCCATGTCTTTGCTGCCTCCTCTGACCCCTTTGCATGCAAGTGACCAGCGGAAGGGAGGAGGGCAGAGAGATGCAGGCCGAAGAAAAAGGCAGGACTAGATCTTGAATGGAACTGCATGATGCAACTCAACTGTGCAAGCTAACAGTGCATCAGCATTTTTTAAGGATCAGCCGGAATCCTATTAGGCCATTATGTCACCTGACCCCTGTCAAACTGGTAAGCAATACTACCCTCTGGCCACTCAAAGTGGTGGCACCAAAGAGCAACAGACAGCAGGTCAGCCTCTCCCCTCGGACCCCTACCATGGAGCTACATAAAATGGACCGTGCCTGGGTCTCCTTTGCCAGATTCTCTGCTTAAGAACCCTGAAGCCTTCAATAATTTTTCGATCCGTCTTGGAATACATTAATCCCCTTGCAAAAGTGATGTAACCTTTCATTTAAAATATGCATGCATATAGATATCAATACTGCAAATGTGATGACACCCACAGAAAAAATGGGACCTTGTCATCTATTAGAACCCAGCTAATTTACAACTATAAATCATTTACTTAAGAAGAAGTAGAAAGTAGCCACAGTCTAAGAAGTCAGCAACCTTTTCAAGAGCAGAAGGAGAAGGAAGATATGAAAGGGAAACTTAAACAAACAGAGGCATTTCTAAACTGGGGTCTATTTGTGGAATTCTTAGAGGAGCAGGAGGCGGCTATGCAAAGAACGAAAACCCAGGGAGTGAAATAAATAACATGTCATCTTATATTATTTAGCCAAACTATAATTCAGAGCCTGGAAAATGTCAAGAGGGAGGAAGTACCCACCGCATGGGGAGGTGGGGGGGGGGGAGCTGTGCATGCTTAGTTTTGCCAAGTACAGCAAATGTAAGGGATTGTCCCAGAATTTACCTTCAAGAATCACATCACTGCTCTAAACAGGAAGAGTGTGGGGCAATTAAACTGAAACGATTAAAGGCCTGGTTGGTGCTTTGTTGATGTGACAAAAAAAACAAACAACAAGCCAACTAAAGAGCTGCCTCCGCTAAAGTAACATTAATTCCATAAGAAATGTATCTTTGAAGCCTACATTTTAACAACCAGTGTGTTCACAAGCAAAATGCTGTTGCTTAAGAATCATGATTGTAATTTTATTACTGCAGAGCCTACAAAATAAAAAAATAAAAATCCCACGTGGAGCTGGCTGTATAGAAGGAAGCATTGCAGGGGAGAAAACACGTGAGCTAACTTGGGGGTCTGGCTATCAAGTCAAAAGAAGGGGGGGTTGTTTGTGGTTTGTGTAGCAGGAACCCCCCCACCCCAATCATTCTGTTTGTACAAACTTAACACACACACACACTCACACACTACATACGCCACATTTCTGTTATAAATTCATAGAAAATCAACCATACATCGGATTTGCACTGTTCCATTTTTTATTTTACTCCATATGACAAGAACTAACAAAGGGGGGTGCAAGCCTACAGGCTGCTGTTTTGCTCCAAGTTATCCTGGTTGGTGTCTTTGTTTTTGTCCAAGAGAGCCCTCGGATTTTTCCTGTAACATTTGTAACCACGGTGCAATGCAAACACATGCAAAAGCTGGGTTGAAATTTCTTTTGGGGAAACAATTTTAAGAAACAAACCACCAAATTCCATCTGGAGTGCAAGATCTTTGTTGTCTATTTATAAAGCTCTTCTTGCCCAGCTGGTGCAATTTGGAACTCTTTGAGGCCCAGCCTGCTTCAGAACCTTTTGCGGTTCCAGAGTCATTACCTGTAGGTTGCCTGCAGCAGCGATGGTTACCTAAGCTGCAGGTGACCTACATCTTACGTGCTCTGACTCTCCCTTCGTGACTTGCTTCAAGGTGAGCTGACACAGCTAATTCCTCCGACTCATCGTTCCAGCCTGAACTCTTAACTTGCAAGTTCCACCAGTTATAATGAGATGTTATGGTTATGGTTATTATATAACTGCCAGGGTAAAAGATCCAGTTGGTGTGTACATTAAGAAGGCATTTGCCCTGGAGGAAAAGAGAGGCTTTGTGTCAATTAAAAAACCAACAACGCTACCCTAACTATTAAAGGAGCAATAAGTATGCTAATTAAACGACATTCAGCCAAAGATTAAAACCAAAAGTAGTTAAACATTGCACATCCTTTCTCCCTGCCAATGGAATTATAAATATTATCAGCACTTAGCTGATTTAAATTGCTTTGAGTTTTCCTTGGCTTCGCCCTGACTGATTTCTGCAGAATCCAGAAGAAAAACAATGAATATTAAAACACATCCAATTGTGGGCCTTTTTGAAAGAACACAAGTATGTATTTGACAAAAGCTTAAAAGGTAAAGGTAAAGGTACCTCTGCCCGTACGGGCCAGTCTTGACAGACTCTGGGGTTGTGCGCCCATCTCACTCAAGAGGCCGGGGGCCAGCGCTGTCCGGAGACACTTCCGGGTCACGTGGCCAGTGTGACAAAGCTGCATCTGGCGAGCCAGCGCAGCACACGGAAACGCCGTTTACCTTCCCGCTGGTAAGCGGTCCCTATTTATCTACTTGCACCCGGGGGTGCTTTCAAACTGCTAGGTTGGCAGGCACTGGGGTGCGGGGATTCGAACCGCCGACCTTTCGATCGGCAAGCCCTAGGCGCTGAGGCCTTTACCCACAGCGCCACCCGCGTCCCTTTGACAAAAGCTTACTGTATAGCAAATTCATTTTCTGTGTGCTAATCCTTAGGCAGCCAAAATGGCGCCACATGGACAAAAGCAGGGAGTATCAGCAGGTTCGGGGGAACCCCAAGGTTTGCATGAAAACGAAAACTTAAGGGGTGGTGGGGAAACACCACGACAGCCATATAAGGATGTGGGGTGCTCAGAACCCATAGAATGTTGAGCACCTATGGGGCTGAGGAGAAATATAGGGGTGAGGAGAAATGGAGTATCTGAAAGAATATGTGGCTGAAACAAAAGCGATTCATACTGCAAGATTTTGTTGCAGGTCCAGCTTACACGGGTTACACGGGTTCCCGCCTACACCACAATCCATGAGTGGGAGGTATGATTTCTGTTGTACAAAGTACCACAAGAACAAAGAGTATTGTGGTTCCTTGGAAACATTTATTATGGCACAAGCTTTTCTCAACCACTTCATCAGTGGTGCATTAATACACACACACACACACACACAGGAACCTTGGTTGTTGAACGCTTCAGAAGTTGAACGTTTCGCCTTTCGAACGCCGACAACCCAGAAGTGAATACTTCCATTTTCTAATGCGCCTCAGAAGCCGTTCAACTTCCAAGTCATGTTTTCCGATTTTTTCAATGGATTTTGCCAACTGCCCATTGCGCCTCGGTAGTCAAATTTTCCAGAAGTTGAACGGTCTTCCGGAATGGATTACGTTCAACAACCGATGTTCCACTGTATACAGAGAGAGTATATGTATATTCATATCTTTCTAAAGACATAAAAATGTAAGCCTGTCGTCACGCTCTGCAGTTTGCATGGCTGCCAATAGGTGCTCACAGCAATTGCAGTGTGACAAACAGCAAACGGGCAGGGGAGCAAGGAAGCAGCACAGGTGGCAGGTGGCCCAGGGGAGCTGTTTAATGGGAGAGATGCTGTTTAAACACAGTCATGGCTTGGGGGACCGGAGTTTATAAACTGTGAGGTTAGAGTGCAACACAATGCAGAAAATACAGGCTCATTGCCTGTACTTTTCTGCACATACTTTCCTACCCTGCCCCCCCCTCCAAGAAAACCATGTGCCTACATGCCCACAACTAAAGGTAAGACTTCATGCTTCTGCTGAAGTACAATGTAGTCCACAAAAGCTTATGCCACAGCTTATGGAGAGGTTTGATCTTCTTGCCATCCATGGGACTCTCAAGAGTCTCCTCCAGCACCATAATTCAAAAGCATCAATTCTTCGGCGATCAGCCTTCTTGATGGTCCAGCTCTCACTTCCATACATCACGACTGGGAAAACCATAGCTTTAACTATACAAGCCTTTGTTGGCAAGGTGATGTCTCTGCTTTTGAAGATGCTGTCTAGGTTTGTCAGTCGCATCGTGCCCCAAGAGCTGTCTTTGCTGGCTTCATGTGAAGGGCTTAGAAAATGAACAACAGAACTCTGCGCATGTTCAAGAGTGCTCTTTCCCCACCACATGTTAAGGCTGGAAGCACTTAGTGGCCGCTTTCCCCATCTCTGTCTCTCTTTTTGGGGCGGATTTCCTTTCTTCTTTTTAGCCCCCCCAAATGCCCTTCAGCCTTTGAGGGGAAGTAAGAAAGAACGAGCGAAGAACCACCTCTCACTTCACTCCCCCCCCCCGTACCGACTTTCTATCGGCGGAAGGATTTGAGCGCGCGAGCGAGAGAAACGAGGCTCTGCGAGAGACAGCGCGCGCAAACGGCCCAGCAGGCTGAAGGGAAGCGCTGCTTCCTCAATCTTCCCGCCCTTGCCTGGAAAGAAGTCCCCGGCCGCAGCTTCCTCTCGTATATCCCTGCGCGCCCGAAGGAGGCGGCTCCTTGTGAGGGGAGGAGGGAAAGGCGGCCATTTTGTTCGCCCGCCGACGCTGTTTGCGGCATCTCCACCTCCTCTCCTCTCCGAAAGCGAGAGAGGGAGGAAAGGGGCATTCAGGAGAAGGAAGGAGCCAGCTCGGGAGCGGGGAAAGAGCCGCGCGGGTCGACCCGGCGGGCTCCGGCTTCGCTCCCTCGCCCCGGCCGCTGAGAGGCGATGGCGGATATGGACAAGCTCAACATCGACAGCATCATCCAACGGCTGCTGGAGGGTGAGCGAGGAGGGCGGCTTGAGGGAACGGAGCGGCGGTGTGTGTGTGTGGGGGGGGGATAAGGATGTACAGTGAGGCTGGATTAAGGGGGGGGCGAGGGCGGCGCGTGAGGCGGCTTCCTTGGGGGGCTTCCGCCGCCCTCTGGGGGCGCTGCCGCGGTTTGGGGAGGGGGCGGCAAACCATTCAAAGGGGGGGGGGTTGCCCACAGGCTGGGGGGGGGAGGAGCGAAGGCCGTTTTATTTTATTTATTATTATCATCCCACCCTTTAGTTACAAAACAAAAAGCCCCACTGACTATAGCTCTCCTCCACATGACGGTTAGGGGTAATAATAGTCGCAAATAGTAATAAATGAAGCCTAATAGCGTGACTTTGGGTGCGCGCGCCGCCCGCCTCCTCTTCGCTTCTCGTTTCAGGCACTTTTGGGGCGCTTCTCCCTTCCTCCCGTATCTTGGGAGGGTGCAATGGGGGGGGGAGAAGCGTTGTTGTGTTTGGGGGAGACCCGAAGGTGTGGAAGCCAAGGGAAGGGGGTTATCTAGGGTGTCTTTGGGGGGGGCTGTTGTATGTTCTTTGGGGGGGCCACCAAAAAATGAGGGACGTTTCTGGAGGAGGGGTTGTACTGGTGGACGGGCGTGCGTGCCTTTATGTAGATTTAGGTATGCGTGTGACTTTATTCATTGACAGTATATACTGCATCTAAATGCTGCTGCTGTTCCTTTTGCCACAAAAAAGAAAGAAGACAGGAGAGACTGGTAGGAAGGAGGAAGCTGTAATGGTTTTGTGTGTGTATAATATATCTTTTGAGTATGGGGTGCGTAGATTATTTGAGAGAGGACTCTTAACAATACAGAGGGGTGTGTGTGTGTGTGTGTGTGTGTGTGTGTGTGTGTGTGTGTTTGAATATGGGATGTATGGATACACACAGGTCAAAGTGGTATAGAGAGGATTCCCCCCCCCACTGCCCCCAAACGTGTAACTCTTTTTTTGGGGGGGTGAAGGTGTTGCTTGAGAAGAGTAGGGATTTTGGAGGCCCTTGACAGACTCCGCTTGGGGGGGAGATGAGTATTTGGAGTGGAATTGGGGGTGGGCTCCCAATATTTATTTGCACTGGTGTTTCTGTAGGGAGGGGGAAGGTGGGTTGGGGTGGATTGCAGAGGAGCAGTGAGATTGAGGAGCATTATTGGGAACGGAATTTAGGGTTGCTTGCCTGTGAAAAAGTGTTCCCCTAAGGTGGAGGGGTGAAGGAAGGGGGTGCTGTTGAGGGCAGGGTGGGGAGAAGGTGCTGAACCCAATTAGGAATGGTTTTTTATTGCAGTGGGCTCATTTTTTTTAAAGTGCCCCTTTGTGGTTCTGTGAGGAGGTGAGGTGAGGTTAAGTGTTTCAGCTAGAGGAAAGGGAAGTAAAGTAGTAATTGTTGTGGGTGGGGAAAGACTATGTGGAGGATGGTAAGAGGTCCCCTCACATAGAACCCATCAGGGTATCTGAAATCCCATAGCCCTCCACTCATCTCAATTCTGACTTTGTCTTTGGACTCTCCTGAGTTGATTTGGCAGGGAAGGAGGCAAGACTAAAGGGTCCACATCCAAGATGGAGGGTCTGGAGGTGCTTTGTTTGTGCCTCAGTGATCTTTTTTCAGATTACAACAGTCTCTTCCTCAGTTCTTGTACACTCCGTGTATCCATGTGTCTGTGTGTGCATACATACACAAACATATAACTTAAAGATAGGTGGGAGTGCACACAATTCTTATTCTGATACATTAGATGTGCATGCAGTGCTTTATTCTGATGTTTTTCTTAGGGTAAGTGCATAAGTAGTAGGTTGGTCATTTTTCCTTGTTTTGCCCTCTGCTTAGCAAAGTGGAGTCTTACTTCTGTAGTAAGAGAAATCAGTGTTGGTTTAGTTTCCCTCCCGAAGCTGCATGACTGCTGACCTGAGGAATCATGAGGGCCGTTAAAATGTTGCTCACCCTCCTATGCCAGTCTGTTGTGGCCATTATTGTGGCAGGGGTGAAGCTTGCAAACAAATTAAAAATTTAATCCTTGTAGCAACATGAACATTTGACTGCTCTAAAGACATGATTGTGAGCCACATGGATGTCTGCTTATTTGAACATTTTCATCTGTCTGACCTTGGTGCTGGGGTTGTTTCTGATATGCTGTGTTCCCTAAATCTTAGATAGTGCATGTTTTGATTTCTAGGTTTGGGTAAACATGCTTATAAATCTTGGCTGAGGTGAAGCGTTGTGAAGTAGCTGATGACAAATTATCCTTGTAGCAGCAAGCAATATCACATTTAGCTAGGGAGGGAGGCTGCACTAATCTAGCTTTGTCTGAGTCTATCCAGGACTTATACTTGAAGAGTTCAATCAGGGAATTAACTTTTCATTTGATGCAAAGTAATCTGCAGCAATGTGGTCTGAACTAAATATAAGGGGTATGTCTTGCTGTAGTCTCTCGCCTCACTTCAGCGTCCCTTCCAGTTTTTTAAAGATACCTTTTAAAAAGTCTTTCTCATTTATTTTAGCATAGCCATGGAAATTGATAGGATTTGTGAATGTAGGATATTTGGGGTTGGATAAAATAGAACTATGGGACGCGGGTGGCGCTGTGGGTAAAAGCCTCAGCGCCTAGGGCTTGCCGATCGAAAGGTCGGCGGTTCGAATCCCCGCAGCGGGGTGCGCTCCCGCTGCTCGGTCCCAGTGCCTGCCAACCTAGCAGTTCGAAAGCACCCCTGGGTGCAAGTAGATAAATAGGGACCGCTTACTAGCGGGAAGGTAAACAGCGTTTTCATGTGCGGCTCTGGCTTGCCAGAGCAGCGATGTCACGCTGGCCATGTGACCCGGAGGTGTCTCCAGACAGCGCTGGCCCCCGGCCTCTAGAGTGAGATGGGCGCACAACCCTAGAGTCTGTCAAGACTGGCCCGTACGGGCAGGGGTACCTTTACCTTTTTAAAATAGAACTAGAGACATTGCTTCCATTGGTTTGGTGTTAGTCCTTTTTCCACCACCTTGATTTACTTAAAAATATAATTTATCATGTCTCCATCTCATCAATGAGCTTAAATTTAAGATGCCAACAATATTGATTTAGTGTAGATTGATTTCTCAGTAATTTCAGTGTAAATTTCTTGCTACATAAACTTTGAAAAGTTTGTGTAGACATAACTCTAGGAGCCAAGCAGGACACATCAATATCTTAGAAGATAATGTAAGTCGTATGGCAATTTAATGCCAAATTTGTGTTAATAAAATGTTAAATCATTTAGTAATGGAGAGAATTTTTGAAACATTTCCACTTGGAATTTATACTTAAAAATAGCTCAGCCCCAATGAACGTGAGACTTCAAAGAGGTTAATGTTGTAAGACATATTTGGTTGATTTGTGTATTGGATAGTGCTGTTTCTTAATTATATATTCATACCCAGCTCTTCCTCAAAAAGCTTGGGTTACTTTGCGTGTGGTCTCCCAGTCTTTTTCCTCACTGTTAATTGGTGAGAATTGTGTAATTGTTCAAGGTCTAAAAAGAACATCTCCTTGACGAATAATTGATACAATCAACAAGGAAGTAAGTTTAAAATTGTCAGAGAAATTGCTGTTGCAAAAGGTAAGAGACAATAGTAAGATCATAGAGTTGGAAGAGATCCCGAGGGTCATCTAGTCCAACCTTCTGCAATGCAGGAATCTCAACTAAAGCATCCATGACAAATGGCTACCCAGCCTCTTCTTTGGACCCTCCAAGGAAGGAGAGTCCACAATCCTCCTGAGGGAATCCATTCCATTGTCAAACTGCTCTAACCGTTAAAGTTCTTCCTGGTGTTTAGTCGGAATCTCCTTTCTTGTAACTTGAAGCCATTGGTTTGAGTCCTACCCTCCAGAGCAGGAGAAAACAAGCATGCTCCCATCTTCCATGTGACAACCCGTGAGATATTTGAAGATAGCTATCATATCTCCTCATTCTCATCTTTTCCAGGCTAAACATGCCCAGATCCTTGATCATCTTGGTAGCCCTCCTCTGCATACGTTCCCGCTTGTCAATATCCTCCTTAAATTGTGGTGCCCAGAACCGGACACTATACTTCTGTTGATGCAGCCTAGAATATCATTAGGTCTTCTTCTTCTTCTTCTTCTTCTTCTTCTTCTTCTTCTTCTTCTTCTTCTTCTTCTGTTTCTGCTGCATCACACTGTTGACTCATGTTAAGTTTATGGTCTACTAAGTCCCCTAGATCCTTTTCACATGTACTACTAGTAAGCCCGAAGTCCCCCATCTTGTACTGGTGCATCTGATTCTTCCTGCCTAAGTGCAGAACCTTACATTTGTCCCTGTTGAAATTCATTTTGTTAGCTTGCACCCAGTTCTCCAATCTGTTACGGTCATCTTGAATCCCAATTCTGTCTTCAGCTGCATTAGCTACCCTTCCCAGTTTGGTGTCATCTGCAAATTGGATGAGCATCCCCTGAATTCCTTCTTCCAAGTCATTTTTAAAGACATTGAAAATGGACCCAGGACAGAACCCTGTGGTACCCCACTTGTCACTTTTTCCCAGGATGATGAGAAACTATTAATGAGCACTGTTTGGGTTTGGTCAGTCAACCAGCTACAAATCTAACAGTTACCTCGTTCAACCCACATTTTACCAGCTTCCTTACAAGAATACAATGGGGAACTTTGTCAGAAGTCTTCCTGAAATCAAGATAAACTTATGTCCACAGCATTCCCCTGATGCACCAAAGGAAATGAGATCCGTCTGGCATGACATGTCTTAGTAATCACAGCATCTTTTTCTAAGTGCTCACAGACTAACTGTTGAATTATCTGTTCTGGGTCCTTTCCTGGTATCAAGGTCAAGCTGACCGGTCTGTAGCTACCCTAGGTCTTCTTTTTGAAGATGGGGGCAACATTTGCCCACCTGTAGTCTGTAGGGAACTCACCTGTTCTCCAGGAATTGTCAAATATAGGCAGAGGCTGTAAGATTACATCTGCAAGCTCCTTTGGTACCCT